ATTAACAATTCATCATCCCATTACATAAGAAAGAGCCTCTATATATAGGCCTAAGAAACTAAAACAAGACACATATGCCCATAAGGCTTACATAGGACGACCCTCTTAAGTGAGGATACAAATGGAAAATTCATAATAAAATTTTAATAATTATAAATAAAATATAAGATAACGTGGGACTATGACAGCCGTTCATCTTCAGCTCCTCGGATAGCCATGGACGATTGGATGTCCGCATAATTATTCTTTTTTACTTATAAAATTGCTTCCACAAACACAAGCTAAATACTCTAATAATGATATCAAGTACTTCCAAAATTATTTTAGCTGTCACCCTAAGAGAGTTTCATATAATCGCTCTTAATTATACTAAAATTATTTAAGTGATTGAACTCTCTTATAAACATAGCACGATGACTATTTATAGGAAAACACAAAGTAGGCATCTGAATATGCGCCGCTAGAAAGATCGGCGTTGCCGCGCCCAACAAATCAAATAACGTTGCTGCACTGCTTTTTTGATTCCACTGTGGCGCTTGTTGATGTGGATCATTTACTTAGTGAACAGTCACATAATTTTGTAGACAGGTCGTATCCTTGGGAGCTACAAGTGCCATGCTGCAGCGCTGTTGTCTTTTGAACGATGCAGCGTCAAAATGACAATTTTGGCGTCAAGGTGTTATATGTTGTGATGCTGCAATGTTGGACGATAGAAAATATGGTGCTATGAAGTTGACATCTTAATGCTACGGCGATATCCGATATAGAAGTCAGCACTACAATGTCCTGTTTGCAGCGCTCCAACGAGGTTCTTGAAGGCACGACGGCATTGATTTGTCCAACGTTGTGGCGCTGGATAATACTTAGGATTTTATGCCTTTCTTCGTATTTTTCCTGCATATTATAACTAAAATAACATATTTTCACTAAAAATATAACACATAAAATGCATATTATTTACGCTTATTAGTTATGCAAAGTCATGGGAAAAGTTATTGTATATTATAACATCATGAACATGCGATTCGGTTAGAAGTACATGTATGCATGCATTGTTATTTTTTTCGAACACTATGTTCCTATATTCAACAAGTGGGTGGATGTGTATGGGTATGCACTTTGCAAATTTAGATTGATGAAATCATGATATCCTTCAAACAAATGTAATTGTTGTCCTTTACTTTATTATTTCTTGTTGAATATAGAATTCTTTTTTGAAATGATTATATGTCATAATATTGACTATTTTATTGTGTGTATATGGTAGACTTTTACAAGATTGAGAATGTACATCAATTTTATCCTCCAATGAATCATGTATGCATCCTCTTTGAAAGGTGCGTGTTGGCAAGAGCTAAATACTTTGTAATGAATCCCAGAGGATTGATAGCTTACTATGATAAGTCATATGAATCATATGAATGTTAAACATCTATAAAATGAGTTATTCAATGTTGAAAACCCTCACTTAGCTCATTTCCACATCTCTTCTTGCTTGCTTTTTCTTATATACATGTTTACTTGTAGTCTTACCGTCGCATATACATTAGGTTAATCGATATTGATCATAATAGTTTGTTGGAAAGTTGATTCACATTCAGAATGGTGCCCAAAACAACAGCTAGTAACTTGGAAGTTTTTAAACACAGATATGGTAACTCAATAAGCTTATTCCAAAAACAGTTTACAGGCATCTCCTTGATCAATTGGTTAGGTGTTTTGGCTAAAAATTAAGAGATTTTGAGTTCTAATCTTGCATGTGTTGTGTGTGTGAGTCCGGACATTGCCCCTTAATTCTCCATATATATATAAGTTCAAGAATTTTTAACTTTGCAACGTTTTAAAGTATTGGATGGAAAAATTATGGATTTGATGTAAACTTCAGCAACCGTCCAGATTCAAAGTACGAACAAAGAAGCAAGCAAATTAAAACGCGCGGAAACCTACCTGTTTCATATGAAAGGGTGTAGCAAAGCAAAATAGCAATCAAGATACCAAGCCGTCATATGCAAGATATCAAACCCAAAAGCTAGCTCCGTAAGGGATACATAAAACATAAAGCAGCTCGTACAAAATCCAAAGCTTACGTGTGTAGCGTGGAACTGTAGACGAAAAACCACTTTCACTTTAGTCTTTTCAATCTTCAACTTGGGAATCCGCGACATCGTGCACGATCAGCTAATTATCAGCAAAAAATTGCACTTTTTTTCCAATTAATGCCCTTTCCTGTATAACGAGCCAAAGATCATCACCCTAAGTTCCCTTTCATTGAAATCAGTACAGCAAGTACAACCCAAAATTTATCAACTGCTTAAATTAAAGCAGTAAAACAAAGTGTGCTCTTGAAGCAAAGAAGCACCTGAGAATCAGCGGAACTGGAGCACATAATGTAAGCATTTTAACCTACAATCCTAACCAAAGCCCGGTTGTATCTTCCCGAAACAACCACAGATGTCATAAACATCCTGGAAACAAAAGAAAGAATGAGAGGGGGAAAAAAACTAAAAAGATGTACCTGAAAAAGTATAAAATTGTTTTCGAAAACATAGCCGAAGATAAAGAAGATCTAGCTCGTACTCCGCCAAACCAAACCCGCATACAACACAGATTCATCATGCGTCAGAATGAAAAACGAGGTTCCAAAAGAGTGTCGTCCAAAAGCGCAGAGATTCATCACATCGAAACCCTAGCACCAACCAGACGGACTAAATGGAAAAAAAAGAGGATCGAATGCCACTAATCGAAAGCAAGACAACAAGCTTGAATGTCAGGTGCTCATACAATATTCAAGAAACCGATGCTTTCAGCTGCCAAAAAAACAGAAATGCACCTCCAGAGCACCTTTAACACAAAATCTAGCAAGAACCTCAGTAATTTGTCATCAAACAAAGCAGAATTCAAAAACCACACCCTAGAAACAAGCAATATTAGCAAGCCAGTCCATAGAAGCAAAAGGAAAAAGACTCTGCCAATAACCATGGAATGGGCCCAAATCGAGAAGACATAGCGACGTCGGTCAGTGGAGTGAGAAATGGTCGCAGGAGTAAGCATTCAGAACGGATCTCACCTACTCCTGGATCTGCTGCTTGCCGTTCAAGCGAAGCCACACCAATCATCATCAAGAATGCCCCGCGACAATCGTTACCAACGACAACCGAACTACTCACAATCGATCGAGAGCTCGCGGTCGAAATCTCGCCATGAAAGAGATAATTAAAGATCGAAGACGGGAGCAGAGAGAGAGAGAGACTAATTTGGGGGTTGGGGAGTTTAAGAAAAAGGGCATCCCGCCAAACGTGGGATTTTCTTTTGATTAAGCTCCAGATATCAAATTTATATTATATATTAATAGAAAAAAATTATGATTAAGGGCTTGAGTTGTTCAATGCTGAGTAGCTGAGCTGGGCGCTGGTGTAATGAATGTTTCTTTATATATTAACTAATCTGATGGTGATCTGACATGGATGGACGGTTGAGATGGTTTTGGATGGGTGTAGCGCTTGCTTCATTCTTACATTGCTATAATAGTTTAGGTGACCAAATCGTGATGGCGCGGTAGCCTCGGAACTGAGCCAATAATTGAATTTTCGGTGGGGCTAAAATGCTCTATTATTATTTTAAGTTCTTATGTTAAATAATATTCAAAATAATTTTGTTGTGCTTTAAAATAAAATATTATCAAATTTAAATTTTAAATTATATATAAATAGAGATTCATAATAAGGCTTATGTCTCCCTTTTATTCTCATCTTTCTTTTTTATATTCCCCATTTCTTTCTCCTCCTCCTCCTCTCTTATTCTTCCTGTATTTTCTTCTTCTTCCCCTCCTATTTTTCCTCCTCATTCCTTTCGCTATCTTTCTCTGATTTCTTCTTCTTTCCCTTCTTTCATTTGCTCTGCGCAACAACAGTAAGCATTTCAAACTACATTCAACATCTTCCATTGAGGTTTAGGATGTGAGGGAAACTATATTTGCAATTCATGATTGGCAAGATTTCTCTATAAGAGACTTTAACTGTGACCCCTCTTGGCTGAAACAACTCTACAAATCTTTTGAGATAGTCATCACAGGAATCATGGCTGATTTCAAGTTAATTATTTTACAATAAATTCAATATAGCATTTTCATAATAATGTGTGATTGTAAAGCATGATTTTCATCTCAATGTATTTCATGTAATTTTATAAGTGTTGTACATTAGTTGCAGTACAATAAAAGTCTTCAAATATTGTTTTACACAATCCTCGATAATTTGGTAATTTTTTAAAGTTTTGCGTTTTTGCATTGTTGAATTTTTGTTCTCTACCGTTATACAATATTGTGATATTTTGATGCATGCTTAATTGCTCTTTAATTGTTATAATGTGATAATATATATAAATATGTGATTGAATTATATATGTTGGGAGCTATAAGGGATCAAAATCATTTGAGATTTTGTCTGTGTAAGAGAATTTCTATGAGTTATAAGGGGCCAGAATCCTTTGAGATTCTATCTGAGACTGGGATATCTGATATATTCTTGTGATATAAGCATAAATCAAAACGGAGTCATAAGGGACCAGAATCCTTTGAGATTCTGTCCGGGTCCGAGAAACATGATTTGAACAACTCTGTAATATTAATTTCAATTTATTTATTTGTTCTATACTGTTATCTGAATCATAGAATAACTGCAATGCATTTATTACATTTTACAGTTTTGTGATTCTCAGTTCAATGATTTATTTAAGTTATAATTAACTGCTTTTAATTATTCAATAATTATTCAGTAAAATATTTGATAAAGAAAAATTTGAAATTTAGATTGGTTTGTGTGGCTTGGTGAGCTGTTGTAGCTCATTGTGATTTTACTTTTGGTTTTCAGGATCTGGTAAGGTGAAAAGGTTGTGGACTAGAGGTTTATGATCAGATCTGAGATCATAGGTATTTTGTTATTTTGATTTTTATACAGTCATGACTAGTTCAATTTTCAATTCTGTAGCTCTTGCCTGTAGCCATGTAATGTAGTGTATATATTTATTTTAATGAATGAAAGAAACTTTATAGATGAGTTTTTCAGTATTTGGATATTTTAGTAGCTTTGTGGTTCATCATTATTTCAATGAATATTGGCAAAAAAGCTGAAATAACTCCAAAATTAGATCTTGGGATTTGCCTCTCACACCTCAACACGATAGGATTTGTCCTGGTCGGATTGGGTTGTGACAGGATGGGCACCATCGATATTGAATCCCTTGATCATGCACAGTTCATCAGACATTTGAAGGCCTTAATGATGTCAGAATTCGGCGATCTTGAGCTCGTTGGATTCGTCTCATCAAGACGCTCGATTCGACTATAAGCACGTCATGTTTGGAAACCGTTTGCTAACCCAAATTGTGTTTAGAACCTTCCAACAGTGCTTCTGGTCCTTGATTTGGAATCATTTGGGCTCAGATTGAGTCGAATTTGGTGTCGTTGGGTTCATATTTCTGAGACGTTCAATTCAAATATAAGTCCGCTGAAATCGGAGTTCAGATTGTTCCAATTTTAATTTCAGAAGTTTCCAACTTAATTTTGCATCGAGATTTGTGTCCGATCAAGATAACTTTTTGATGACGTATCATTACTAATTATAATTATTATAACTTTTTTAACATAGGTCAAATTCAAATACATCTATTCTTCTAATCGAGCATTGAAAGATTAATGTTTTGTGTCCAAATCATCTAAGCCAACTCTCTCTAATATTATCTGCCACTGGAGCGACTCTCTAATTCTGATATTAATCATAACTTAAAAAAAATTTCATTAAAATTAATATTAATTAATACACTTCAATTTCTAACAATGATTTGTGCTTCTTTCTTATTTTTCTTTCTCTTCCAATTGACTACTTAGAAAATTGACTACTTAGAACCATCACAACTTTTTTCTTTTTTTTTTCTTCTTCCCAATGATAACTTAGAACCACCACAACTTCTATTTTCCTCACAAATTACTTACAAGAAACCCCATAATCAATATGCTTGCTGTAAGTTTCTGCAATCGTTTTCCTGCGAGCAAACTTAGTACAACATGCTGAAGGTTGGAATTCTGTTTTTTACTTCTGCTATATTTGTGAAGTACTTCTATTGATGCTACATTGCTCTTCTTGCTTATGTTTCTGATAGGATATACTTGGTTTCGCAAGTAACCCTAACCCAAATCGGAGATCAAATAGTGAAAATATTGTTGTCCAAAACAAAAAATAGCAGAAATCTGCTGTTTACAGTAGAAATCTGCTGTTTACAGCAGAAAAACAGCACTAATCCAGGAAAAATCTGAGAGAAAACTCAAAGAAAAAGCTTGTATTTTCACTAGACGATGAATAAAATAGCAAGATACAATTGATCCTCAATTCGAGACGAGGGTCGATCTCTCCCAAATCTCTAGATGCCGCTAGAGCCCAAAGAAAACCTAAATCTAAGAGATCTCAAATTTCAGCCAAATTCAAGATGCCCTAACCCTAGGAAAATCAACTATCTAATGCATACAAATCAAAAGGAAATTTCTAAACAGTCCCTACATTCAAATTTCCCTCTCAAAACCATCAAAAATTCTTCCAAAAAGGCTCCGTCAGCTCATGCAGCTCGTGCAGCATCCGCTACAGGCGGAACAAATGCTATACTTCACCTGCAAGCCAGTCTCGCCTGGACCGGCTAGACCGTCCAGTGGACCGGTCTAACAATACTCCCCTCCCAAAGATCCACCTTGTCCGCAAGGTGGAAAGACGACACCCTCCATTCCTTCTTCATCACAAACGGTAAGAACCTGAAGAGTTCGGTCCTTACACCTGTGCCCCGGCTTATACCTCTTATGACATCTGAAAAAAAGCCCCTTTGCCCTCTTCTAATTCTGTCTCTGTGAGCTTTTTGAAGTTGTCTTTAGGTATTTCTCCTGAGGTCTTTTCCTTCGAAGTCCCTCGAAGAGTATCCGGTGTTGACTCCTTGGATTTCAATAAAGTGGTGGTTATCCTGTACGAGCCTCTTGAGCTGCCGCCTCCCGTCTCTCCCTCCAGGTGCCTCTGATCTTCTACCAATTGAGCTAGCTCCATACCCTCTCCCAAGTCACGAGGCCTCATTACTCTAACCGCTGCTCGGATCTCTAGTGTCAATCCCTTCATGAAGTTTCCCTCTAGCACTGTCTTAGAAAGGCAATCCAATCGGCTACCAAGGTACTCGAATCTCTCCTGGTATTCTGTCATTGAACCCTCCTATATCAAGGCAAAGAATTGTTCGTAGAAGTTTCCTCCCCTACCAGTTCGGAAACGCTCTATCAAGCAATCCTTGAACTCTCTCCAACTTCGTATGGGTTGTCGCATGTCCCTCCACTGATACCAAGACAAAGCCTTCCCTTCTAAACATAGGCCCGCCGCCGTCAATCTCTCCTCTTTTATCATTGATAGCGAAATATCTTTATACCTTGTAGATCCCACCCGTGTGCATCCTTCCCCTCAAAGATTGGCATCTTCAGTTTCCTCACCCTCGGGTCACACCCGTTTCCCCTAAATCCTCCATAACCTCCCATTCCTCGAAACGGGGGTGCTCCCTAATTGTTACGATCTTCCCTCCGGCGGTCATACCCAAACCATTCATCAAAATCCCATCTTCTTCTTTCAAAATCAGCACCACGGCGATCGAAATCATCTCCTCGCCTTACAAATTCAGCACCCCTTCTTGCGTAGCCAATGCTCATCTCCTCCCTATAAAGTGGTTCTAAATGAGGCATTCTGTCTTCTCCCTCCAGGATCTCCACTTCTGGTTATTCCCTTCCCCTAGACATGTTAGGGTTCTCATCTCTTCCATGGCTGCCGATAGTTTCCTTTACTTCTAATGTCACCGGTTTGGCTTTGACTTCAAGCAATTTCTTCAATAAGTCTTCCATTACGACAAACTTTTCCTCCATCTTTTCATTGACGGATGCAATCTAACTTTGAAAATAAGTCATCTTTTCCTCAAAATCTGTTTTGAGTTGCCCAAGCTCTCCCTCTAAAATTTCCACTTTCCTTCCAGCCATTGGTTCCCCTTCGATCGACGTGCTCTTATACCAATTTGATATGATATACTTGGTTTCGCAAGTAACCCTAACCCAAATCGGAGATCAAAGAGTGAAAATATTGCTGTCCAGAACAGAAAACAACATAAATCTGCTGTTTACAGCAGAAAAATAACACTATTCCAGGGAAAATTCTGAGAGAAAACTCAAAGAAAAGCTTGTATTCCACTAGAAGATGAATAAACTAGCAAGATACAATTGATCCTCAATTCGAGAGGAGGATCGATCTCTCCCAAATCTCTAGACGCCGCTAGAGCCCAAAGAAAACCTAAATCTAAGAGATATCAAATTTCAGCCAAATTCAAGATGCTCTATCCCTAGGAAAATCAACTATTTAATGCATACAAATCAAAAGGAAATCACTAAACAGTCCCTACATTCAAATTTCCCTCTCAAAACCCTAAAAAATTATTCCAAAAAGGCTCTGTTAGCTCATACGGCTCGTGTGGCATCTGCTACAGGCGGAACAAACGCTCTACTTCGCCCGCAAGCCGATCCCGCCTGGATCGGTTTAACAGTTTCAAGTTGGCTGAACATTCAAGTTGTTGATTCCCTACTTAGCTTCCTAAGTTTTATTGTCTGGTTTTGCCGATGTCGATTACTATTACCGAAGCCCAAGTAAGGCTTCGTTTGAGATGATTTTTTTATTGTTTCTTAAAACAGCTTTTACTTTAAAAATTAAAATTTTTATACTATAAAGCTTTTTTAAGAAGCAGTAAGAAAGTCGTCTCAAACAAAACCTAAATATATCCAAATTCCTCTCTGGCAATTAAGGTTTTATTTGGGACAATTTTCTTACTGCTTCTTAAAACAACTTTTTAGCATACCTTACTTTTTAGCATATCTTTCTACTTTCTTCTGCTCTAACTCATACCTCTAACCTCCCTTTCAGGTGCTTATTTGTTCTATCTCAATTCTATTTTTTGTATGTACCCTACATTATATTTCTCGTTTCCTACAAAATCAAAGATAGAAAAGGTCCACTATGATCTTCATTACTGTTTATCATCAATTATGATATCGAAGCTTTGGTTCATTGTCTCATTGGTCCTCAACCAACCCCTTAAGTCACTAAACCGAAGTGTGACGACGGTCTTTAAAGTTATGAACAATTATCCCAAATGTAATAGCTTTCATTTTCACCCCTAAAGCTTTTTTTAGCTCTTTTGCTTTTAGTTCGCATTTACATTACATTGGCAGCTTTTTTTAGCTCTTTTGCTTTAACTAATAGCTTTTACATTCACTTTGGCAATTTCTTGCATTGAATTACATAGCTTTTATGATCTCCCAGCCCATTCATTTTTCATACAACAGTAGAAAACTTCATATGCTGAAGCATTTTTACTTCTATCATCTTTTATTCCTATACAAATTACAAAGTGGGAAGTCTTCAACATCTTAATAGATCTCATTCGGCTCATGCAAACACATCATTTTCAGATAATAACACCAAAACTGTAGAATGAAAGCTGAAGAAATGGAATATGTTATTTTGACCTAACTGATATTTTTAAAAAATAAAATTAGAAAGAGAATATTGTTCTACACTTTATTTTGGTTCTTATTCACAACAAGAATAAAAAAAAATCTTCTAATGGTTGATAAATTTATGGATACTACAGCACGGAATAAGAAAAGAAAGTTAGAGGTAGACCTAAAAAATCTAGCACCGTGGTCGGCGACTAGACAGCAGCTCTAGTAACTTAGGTGTTTCTTCAGTAGAATAAGAAAAGAAACCTTCACTGGACTCTCTAGAGACCCAAAAGAATTTGCAGAAAGGGATTTCACCGCTCAACCAAAAAGTATTGCACGCGTTACAGCATATTGAAATAATCCATATTGCTTGGACATTTATCTCCACAAGCTTCTACTTTTGAAGCATTTGCCAAAGTATTGGCCACTTGTGTTTTTTAAATGAAATGAGGTCAGTGATTTCTTTGAAGATGGCAAAGCCAAGGTAAGCATTTCATCTAGCCGTTTTTTACCGTGTTACTTTACTCATGTACAGAGGCTGAATCTTTTTTATTTAGATTTAGTTTGGGAGGACTTTATTACTGCTTCTTAAAGAAAATTGTTAGTACAAAAATGAAATGGTTATATACTAAAAATTTGATTTAAAAAGCAGGCAGAAAAAAGTCCCAATGCCAATACAACATTAAATACCTAGTGATCAAACATATCAACAACATTAAAAATCAAAAGAAATGAGATAATATAAGAATCGCCACTATCAATGCCAATAACATAAAAATGTTTACAGACACTTAAATACAACATTAAATACTAGATAATGATGAAACAATGAAGAAAATTACTAACTCAGAACTTCCTGATTCTTTTCAAGCTCGCTCTAAAACTATACTCATAATCAATACAACAAGACTGACATTACAAAATTCTCAGATCTGCTGCCTCAATTAAGGCAGCAATTAGCATAAATGCTATAAAGCAAGAAAATTTCTACGTGGATATAATAAGGCAGCACTAGGAACTCCATTTGGCGGATCTTCTAATACTCTGACTAGCAAGTAAAAAATGGATTTGGTTGTTGTAGATAGAGAAGAGACTTCAAAGGGGAGTTCCTTCAAACGCTGAAGAATACGTTAAAACCTCGGAACAAAGAAAATTAGGATAATATATATGAAAAGTGAAACCAAAATTAAAAGGAAAAAATAGAACTGCAGCGATTTTGCTTTTCCAATTATTGAAAGTTCAAAAGTCAAGGAGAAGAATGCTTCGCATCAATTACTTCCTTCAATTTTATACCCAGTGCATAAGCAAGAGGAGGTGGCACAGCATTCCCAATTTGCCTGTGTTTGTTCTGAATGTTACTAGCAAAAATGTAGCTATCACGGAAACCCTGCTTGGCAATAAAGCAAATGGGAATCAGAAAAAAGCAAAATGGTCTTGAGAGTTTTCTCATAGAAAAAAGCAAAATGCTCTTGATGTAAAAAGATTAAGGCTTTGTTTGGAATAACTTTTTTAATGATTCTTAAAGCAACTTTCTAGTAAAAAATTAAAAAAATTATACTAAAAATCTATTTTAAGAAGCAGTTCCAAACGAAGCCTAAGTATACCTGTGACCTCGCACATTCCCTCACAGTGAGAATCCTGTCCTGATCCGGGTGGAAGCACATGCCCACCTTTCCCATGGGTTGGGGATCTGTAATGGAAGTTGGAAAATTCCCTTCCCAGTCTAGTCTACCATAAAGGCCCTTCCACTGGTTGTGCCTCATTGCTGTATTTGGCAGGCACCATGGTACGAGGTCCACCAATTGCCCATTTGACAGCTTAACCTGCAAGAATTCAAAGGCCAGCATAGCTTAAATTATGGATTAACTTAGAGAGTTTAAAATTTGGAAGAACAGGTAACGATTCCACTTGTTATGATCGTCAGCAACAAAGCCAATAACTATAATAAAATAAGTGGATAAACCTTTTCATCTGGAAGATCACGCCAGTCAGCACCAGGTCGCTTAGGAATGTGTTTGCATCGAATAAGGTTCAACTCATTCATTTCCTTTGATATGTGATCGCTTAATGCAATTGAGCCCCCTCTAATGTGCTTTTGGAACCACGAGACAGGCTCACCTCCATACTGAATTAGGAAAGAAAACGCTTGATAGTTTTAAAAAATGAATGAAAAGAAGCAAGGAATTGGTCATGGCAAATGCATGTTGGACACGGCGCACTTGTAACATACCCTGAAACGCGTCTAACATGTTCAAAATCAAGTCTTATTTTTTTCCCAAAATTTGAGTTGTGCACAATGGGTATGCATTGTCATTCCAGTTTGATTATTTTGATAATTATGTGTTGTTTATTGAAATGACACTTTGAATAGACAATATAATATTAATATTGATAAAATCATGTATAAAAATTATTGCTTATGTTGATTTATTTATGTGATGTTTTTTATTGAAAATATTGGCATTTGCTATTTTTTTAGTAACATCTTTTAAATTAAAATTTTAAAAATATCACATTAATAACATGTCATGTCTTGTCCTACTATATAGTTATGCAATGTTCACATGTCAATGCCATATATGTATATTATGTTAGTGCTTCATAAAAAATAACACGCTAGTCAGAATACTCACTTCAACTATCAGCTTTGATGCGCCATTTTCAACAGATGGAAGATCTCCAATAGTGTCCCGCACGGTTATTGAGCGGAAAGGAGCACCATCCGCAGTGCTGCGAACAGCAGAGTATTGCATGTGTCCATTCAAACTTATTTTTAGTTCAGGACTAGCAAAAACATGCATGGGCTCTGGCCAATCAGGTAGTGTTTCATCTGGAGAAGCTGCCCAGATGAATGCCCTTTTCCTCGACTGAGAAACACCATATGCTCCAGCTTCCAAAATGCCAAATCTTACCTGAAAGGAAGAAACACTATAAAATGATCAAGCATAGCCGGTGTACCAGAATTGCCTGGCTACTTCAAAAAAATGCCTATGACGAGTTTAAGGAAGAAGATCAAAACCTGGTAGCCCATCTCAAGAAGTGAAGCAAGGGTTAATCTGAATGTTTGCCCTTTGTTGAAGGACACGAAATTTCTGACATTTTCTAAAAGGAAAAATCTTGGCCTAAAATATTCAGCAAAAGATAAAAATGCTAAAATCATCTCGCACTGAACCTTACTCCACGTGCTATGACTAAATCTATTCATCCCAGAAAACCCCTGCAACAGGAGTAGGAAAGTGCACCGCGAGTAAGTATAAACATAGATAATAGGCAAAACTTATCACTTGAATTAAGATTCTGCAATGAAGGAAAGTTCAAGCCCAAAATTGCAAATGAATAATGAACATAAGCACAGAAGCAAGTCTATGAGAATCTTCAGCATCCATAAAAGCTTGGAGTAAGGTTTTTAGATTTTGGGAGGAGGGGAGAGAGAAAGAGAATACCTGACAAGGAGGTCCTCCATTAATGAAATCTACTTGACCAGGCATAGGAAGATTTTTAAGTTTTTCTTCACTAAGCTTGGCTGCCAATTCTGCAGCTTCAGAGGTGGAGATGCAATCATCTGCATCGCCACATTTCTCCATAATGGCTCTGTATATCCAGATATCAGCATTAACTCAAACAGAAAGCTGGTGATCAAGTAAATGTAAGGCATGTGATGACCTTAAAATTACGTTGCAGTTATCAACGAACATCTGTGCATCAGGGTGGTTTTTGCTGAACGCCTCACCAGCAGCCTCTTCATATTCAATTGCCCATTTTGTAAATGTAGCACCTATGTTAAAGAAAGATGAAAAAAAAATCAATAAATAGGATAAAATACGTACAAGATGCAATTAAAAATATTACCGGACTGCTGAAGTCCTTCAGATAAACCACCACAGCCAGCAAATATATCTAATGTGGCCAAGCGATTTTCCTGAGGCAAGTCCTTCCACAAATGGCTTTCCATTTGTTGCCCTTCTTCACATTTTTCTTTACCCTTCTTTTTGGTGGAGGGATTAGGTGCAGTTCTAATTGTTGACCAAAGCTTACTATTAGAAGGCAACTGCATGCAAAGAAAGTCCATTAAAAAGAAGAAAGATACAAATTAAACAATGAAATCAAGATAAAACTATGGAAAATCGCACCTGCTTAAGAGAACCTTGCCTAGGATCATAAGAGCATTCACAAAAGAAAACATGATCCATAATCACAGGGAGCTCCAAACTTGGCAACCCATTTTTCTTAATGATGCTACATTTACCCTGAATCGCATCTACGGGCACATTGTGCAAATCTTCACTGTAGTAAACCTGTATTTTTTTTTTAAACAATGGTAGGTAATGAGCATGAAAAAGTCCACAATTTAAAAACAAATCAAAATACAATCAACCACAAAAAAAGTAAGATTGGTGATTTGGCATTGTATTTGTCAATTCCATCGAATTACGCAAACAAACAACCTACAGCATGCTTGCATTATGACCAAACTTTTAAAAAACAAATTTGTGCAAAGGAATTACTTCTCTAATATCTGCAATATATGCTTTGGCTGCTGAAACATCCTCCGGTCTATAGAACCTTCTGACTTTAACAAGGGTATGTTGAGTAGGTTTTTTAGCACCTTCATGAAAAAGGATTTCTAGTATTTGGCAGACAACATATGCCCTAAGTCCAACATTCCTGCTGGCCTTAAAAGTTTCGTGCTCCTCATTTTCTTCAACAAAACAATGAGGGCTCACATATATGAAGTCATGAACATTGTATTCAGTTTTATTGAAGATAAACCTTTCCTTCGAGCTTACTTTAAACAGACTGTCCTTGTTCTCTCCTTGTCTACAAGAGTTGCAGATGCCAGATCCAAGTCCTAAACTATCAAAAGGAAGAGTGAAAAAAGCTCCTTTCTCAGGCCAATATAAGCTTTTACAGAAGAAATCCATCGGTTGTACTTTCTTTTGCTTCTCCTCAGCCTTCAGATTGTCAATCTTAGCAGCACCAGAATACTCCTTTCTATACTGGAATCCCCATGATACTGAACGGATATCTACAGTAACTGGCTCTTTAATGTCTCCTAGCGCAAAATCATTACAGTCATTAGTCAAGAAGATTTCCCTCTCATTTGCAGCATTACCCAAAACAGTTTGATACCCTCTTAGAATTATCCTACCATGGACCATCTTTGTTCCATCAAGCCTCTCGTATAAGAATTCCACAAAATGCATAGCTGGAACATCACTGGGCTGAACACCATCAATAACCACAACTCCACCAACAGAAATTTTCTCTCCACGAACAATTGCACATTTATACAGAACTTCGCCAGAATCCATTTTGCCAATTGTATCTCCTTCCCATCTAATTTCCTCCACATTGGGCTTAGAATCATGAGACCTAATGGGGTAACTTTTTGAAGTCATCTCTTGAACCACAATACGTTGCTCTTCAATCTCATCCTCTTCATTCTCTTCCTGCTCATCCTCAACTTCTTCATCTTTCAACACAATCTCAGCTTCCTCCTTGAATTCATCAGGAAAATGGCTAGAATAGTAATCTCCCCAAATCCTATTAATAAGTCTGGTTGTTGTGGCACGCATCACCTTTCTCTTGGAGATAAAGGGCCTCATTGCTGCACTTGGATTCAGATTTGCTTCTTTTTGCACCACCATTTTTTTCTTCATCATCAGTTTTGTATGACGCCTCTCTTCCATCTTAGTTAACAGACCGGTCACGAAAGCACACTTTTTAATTGTTTTATCAGGATACTCTGCAAACTGTTGAAGAATAATCTGTCCGTGAACCACCACATATCTTTCCAACACAGCAATATTTGAAGAAATATAAGCAGGATGCTCCCTGTTAAACTCTGTGATCTTCTTGATCACATCTGCAAATGAAAGTTTTGAAGCTCGAGTCTGTTCTTTCAGCAAAGTAATAATACTAATTGCTAGCTTTGCAGTTTTAAGGACTGGCTCATACCATGGAGCATATAGTTTTGCAGGCTTCCCAAGTCTGTACCTGCAATAAAACAGTTCAGTCATTCAGTAAATACTTTCATCGAATTAAGGAAAGTTAAACATAAAAAAGAGTGAGCTGCGCACCATGCAACATCCGTTCGCACTGAAATGAATATCATTGAGGAACCAAATTCTATCATCCATTCCTTGATTGCACTCAGATAAACAGGAACACCTTCAGTGTTCGCACAATCAGTGATGCTAGATGAAGACCCAACCCCATCCACCTCCATGCAAAACCCACTACCATCATCTTCTTGCATATTTCCGGATCCAAAAACCAAGACATCAGTTTCTGCACAGGGTTTCATTGGCAGAAGTTCTAAGGAAATAAGCCTAGAGTCTGAATTGTAAAGTGACCAGTTATTAAGAACCCTTCTGGGAAGGTCAACATAGTGGATGCTAGATTCACTATCAAAGAATATGTACTCATCCATTTCATCAACAGCAGGTTTGTAATATGCAGGCAAAGGATAATCATTTGCAATCTCTGCCTCACTGATCTTAATATAGATGTTAGACTTCCCTGACTGCGGACCTCTCTGCTGTTTCAACAGCTTCCAATTTTCCTCTTCTTGGAGTAGCCTTGCCAACTTCTCATCTTCATCTTCATTAATTTCCAAAGTTTTTCTACCATCAATCTTCAAGGTTACATCAGCCTTTTCACTTAATCCTCCCCTACTTATGTATTCATCTCTTAGAGCACAGAGAGCTGGTCTTGTGGCTAAGCTCATATTATTTCCCTCTAGCGTTTCATCTAACCCAATCAGCTGATTGTATATGAATTGACCAAGAGAGATAATTAAATCTCTATTAACAACACCACTGGAACTAGTGGTTCCACTGATGGAACGGATAACTCCAGCAAGCAATTCCTCAAGGCTCATATCAGGATTTTTGCTAATAGATCTAGTTAATATTTTGTACACTTCAACACAAATGCGAGCCTTTTCATTGAAATGGTTGTAGAACCTTTTATAATTGCCAGCAGGCTTGACACATTCATACTCTGCAATTTCAGTTATAACCCAAACAACAGGAGTGCCCTCATCATAACCAGAAATTGACCAACTTTCAATTCGGCCAAATCCTTCACACTTAACCCCCCTTTCCTTCTCTTTCTCCAAATTATCATCCATGGGCATAATAACAGATGTAATATAAATATCATCAAACTCACAAACTTCAAAGGGTTGGGGCTTTCCATCAGCATCATGAAAAACAAAATCAACAAGTTTTCTGCATGGCGTTAAATCTTCTGTGCCAAGTTTGGTGAGCTCAACAGCATCCTTCTCTTCTTCCACAAGCCTAATTTCTTTAACTTCAACAACAGAAGACCTATCAGATAATCGGACATTTTTCTCTTTTAAATTTAAGGATGAAGCTGCCCGCTTGGGCCTTTTTCGGATAGCAGGCTCTACATCACAGTCTATGATGTCGCCATTCTCTTTTGAATCCTTCACACCTTCATAGGTTTCATCGGCAATCATCTTCTTCTTGCTCCTTTTCGGTAAGCATTTCAAAGTGTTCTTCCTTTTCATCACTAATAAATAAAACAGAAGACTTTTGTCATTGATGGGGACTATAAGACGGTAAATATTTGTTAAGAGAGATAAAAAGAAGTAAATGCAACAAAATTATTACGCAAAATACAAATATGTGCACCGTAACAATTGTAATCATCATCACCATTTGTCTTAGTCCCAACTGTTTGAGGATAAGATATATTCAAACCATGATAAATCCTACAGAAGTTTGAATCCCGTTTCCCTCCTTTTACCTTGAATCCCGGATTTATTAAAGCCGGGCATTGGGCAAGTCTCGCGAACTCCTCTTCTCCTTCAGAAGCCGCTTGTACCGTCGATAAGGAGAAGCCGCTTGTACCGTCGATGCCTTCTTCAGCGAGCTCCCGTTGTGATTTCAGTCGGCCTGTTTGGATGCCAGATTTACACCGGATTTGAGTTAAATCCTGCCAAACGCCAGAAAACTCAAAATAAAATCTCACGGTAAGGCAGTTTTAAAAAATATTAGTTAAGAAAATGAAGTTTTGTAACGGAGAGCATATATAAAAAGCTTTCTCAAAACTGCAGAAAAATGAAAAAAAAAGAGTTATTGGGAACGTGATTTGACGAACCAAACAACACAAAAAAAAAATTCCTCAGTTTCCAAAAGGCAAAAAAACACTGAAACAAACAAAGCCTAAAAGGCTTCTTTGGTTTGGGTCAGCTTTCTTATTGGCTCTTAAGAAGCAGTAAGAAAGCCGTTTGGAAAAGCCGTCCAAACGAAGCCTAAGGCTTGTTTGTTTGAGCGTATTTTTGCCTTTTTCGTTTTTGGAAACCGAGGAATTTTTTTTGTGTGTTATTTGGTTACTCAAATTAAGTTCTCAATAACTCATTTTTTTCATTTTTCTACAATTTTGAGAAAGCTTTTTATATATGCTTCTCCGTTACGAAACTCCATTTTCAAAACTAATGTTTTTAAAACTGACTTTTACAAAATCACTAAAAAAACAAACGAAGCCTAAGGGGTATTTGGTATCGGATTTATTTTCGAGTTTTTAGTAGGATTTATAGTAAATCCAGCCAAACGCACAAAAGTGGCGCGATAAATCCGGCAAATCCCTAAATCCCGGATTTACGGCGTTAAATCCTCTAAATCCCAGTAAATCCTAATGCCGCTAGAAGTCGGATTTACGAGATTTGGCCGAAGAAGCGCGCGAAAGGGAGAAAGTTACCTTCACAGCGAGCGAGAGGGAGCTCCCGTCGTTGCTTCAGATCAAAATGTTGTAACGTCCGATCCGACAGGAAGGGAACGTCGTCGAAGGAGCGAAGTCGAACAGCAATGAAGTAGCCAAGTCGAACAGCAACGAAGGAGCCGAAGAAGCGACTCGCGCAATCTCAACACCTCCTGCGAAGCAACGAAGGAGTCCAAGAAGCGACTCGTGCAATCTCAACACCTCCTGTGAAGCAACGAAGCCGAACAGCATGGACGAATAAGAGAAGATTAAAAGTTTCACTTCACGGAGTTTTCCCAAATTTTGGCTTAAATCCCGGATTAACTGTCCTGTTGTTCGGCCTATTTACGGGGTTTAGCCGAAGAAGCGCGGGAAAAAGCAGAAAGTGCGTTACCTCCGTCGTGATTACCGATCCGACATGAGCAACCCGTCGTTGAGGGAGGTGAAAAAGCTTTCTTTGGCGACTCTATCCAAACTTGAGTTCACGCGATGTACTTCAAGAGGAAGCAGCGACGAAGAAATGTCGAAGAGGAAAAGAAACCCTAGACAGGCCTAATAAGATTAGAGGTTAAGGGGTTGTTTGATGCACGATTTAGGCAATATTTGAGCTAAGTCCTGTCAAAAGCTAAAAAAATACAAAGTTAAATCTCACGGCAAGTCTAATCTCTACTTCACAGCGTTTTCGCCATTTTGGCCTAATCCCGGATTTCATAAATCCGATCGAATAAGCGTGCGAAAGGGAGGAATGTCATTACCGTCGCGGCGAAGCCCGGCGCGACTTCCGATCCGACAGGAACAACGTCGGAGGAGCTGGAGGAGAAGGAGGAGAAGCTTCGACTCTTTCAGAATTCTACTTCACGCGAAGCAGAACAGCAACGAATAAATGCAGAAGAGGAAAAGCAAACCCTAGACAGGCAATGGCAAGCGACTCGTTCGAAGCTCTACCCCACGCGAACCAGCGAAGCCGAATAGGGAATCTCTACCTCGAGCGAACGGCAACGAAGAAACCGAAGAGGTAAAGCCAACCCGCCTATGAAGATCAGATTGATTCTTAATTTCTTTAAATCTTACCTACATCCAAAAAGGCCTTAGTCTTCGACAGTCGAGAATTTTGGGTAGCGAAACTAGGGTTTCGGACAGTAGGTGTGTTCCAATAAATTTATAATCGTCAATTTATAATCTTAGTTCCGGGAAGAAGGCGAGCGCTGCAAATGGAGGGAAAGGAAATTCACTGGGCGGGAGATTGCATATTCTGTCTGGTCGGGTGCAGCAGAGCTGCTAAATGGCTCCGGGTCAACTGTAGAGGAAAGCCTCTCTCCCTCACTTGCCAAATTTTTTTAGAGGATCACAATATATGTTAAATTAAGCAAAATATATATAATTAAAAAAATTAAAAATGAACAAACTCGTAAAACAGTTTTTAAATTTCACTGAAAATGCAAAATAAAATTTAGTTTTCTTGTAAAATCATATTTTATTTTAAGTTTTTATTAAAAAATCCGATTACAAATCGAGTTATCTATAGAAAATGCCAATTAAAATTTAATTTTTCTATAGGAAATCTAAATTGAATTTTGATTTTCTAAGAAATCAAATTTAAATATGTTAATTAATACTTGAAATGCAAATTGAAAATTTTAGATAATTTGATAATGAATAGTAATTAATTATAATATAATAACTTAATAATTTCAAATTATTTGAAATTTAATTCATATATATATATAATCAATGTGATAATTATAACTATAGTTTATATTATATTACATATAAACTGATACATCATAAAAAAAATCATCTTGATCTAGCACAAATCTCGAGGCAAATCAAGTTGAAAATAGTCGAAATTAAAATTAGGACCATCCGAACTCTAATTTTACTAAACGTAAAGTCAAACTAAGCGTCTCGGAATTACGAACCCAACGACATCAAAATCAACTCAATCTAAGCTTAAATAAGTTCAAACCAAAGACTCGAAACAATATTGGAAGGTTCAAACCACAATTGGGATTAACAAACAGTCCCAAATGTGACATGCTTATAGTCAAATCGAGCGACTCGACGAGACGAATCTAACGAGCCCATGATCACTGAATTTTGAAATCACTAAGATATTCAAATACATATTAAACGACCTATGATCAAGGAATTAACATCGGTCATCCATCCAAACCACTCCAACTTACCCCTGATCTTCCATTTATTTACAAATCATGCTACTCTAAAAAATCTATAAATAGAGCCTCCCTTTCTCATGAATGGGGACCCCCTAAGCAAGGAATCAATAGAGAGAGACCGGAGATCATCTTGCCTCCTCACTCCTCGACCACCGACAGGACTTCCGTAGGGCCATTGCCTAATGCCAGAGTTCCGTCGAACCATCGCCTTACGTTTAAGTTCCCTCATACCACCGCCTCATGCCAAAGTTCTACCAGACTACCACCTAATGCATGAGTTTCATCGGACCACCGCATGATGTCAAACTTTCGTCGGACCACTGCTTGACATCAGACTTCCATCAGGACCACTGCCCGAGGTCGAAGTTCCATCGGACCACCGCCTGATGTTGAAGTTATGTCAAACCACCGAATAATGCCCGTACTTTCACCGAACCACCACCTTATAACTACGGTCTTTCTAACCCTTGTCTCATGCCTACTTTGGTCATTCTGACCTTCGTCACCTACTACGGTCCTTCCAACCTCCATCGCCAGACAACGATCTTTCTGACCCCTATCTCTTGCCGACTACGATCCTTCTAACCTCCATCGCCTACTACAGTCCTTCCAACCTCCATCGTTAAGTAATAGTCTTTATGACATATATTTCCTGTCGACTACGGTCCTTTCCAACCTCCATGGTTAGATAACAATTTTTCTAACACCTATCTCTGGCCGACTATGGTCCTTCCGACATCTGTTTCCTACTACGATCATTTTGATCTCCATCGCCAAACAATGGTCTTTCTGACCCCTGTCTCATACCGACTACGGTCCTTCCGACCTCTGTCACCTACTACGGTCCTTCCGATCTCCATCATTAGACAACGGTCTTTCTAACCACTGTCTCACGCCGACTACAATCCTTGCGACCTCCCTCTCTAGATAACAATATTTCTGACCACTATCTCCCACCGATTACGGTGATTCTTGTGACGCCCCAGGCATCCATAGTGAAAGGATTCGTCGACAGTCTATCGATTTACACACAAAAAAACTGTAAAAAGCACAAATTTCCAAATTCACACAGAACGTTCACAACATCAATATAAGGCTATTGTTCTACTGAATCCATATGAAATAACATCCTGATATTTTTCTATTCAATTAAAATCACGTAGAACCAATTCCGACCGGTAAAATCATCGTAGAAAATACTCAAAACGTGTACAATATTCATATCTATAACATTCCAAAAGTTGTGCGGTGAAAGTTGTCTCAATCAAAATCATGTCCAAAATTCAACTACGAAAACACAAAACAATGCACAACTCG